TAGTAATTACAGGTGTTAAAAAGCAACCTCAGAAGAGAAGAAAATGAGAGACAAGGTGAGGCCTACTCATGTCAAAGAGGTCTTTCCGTGGGCTGCTGTCTGCGCTGCTGGCCGTGGCTGGCCGGGCCTGCGGGGGGATGTGTCGGGTGTTGACATAGGTGGGTCCTTCTCCCACGGCGGGCCCAGGCGCTTTCCCTTCCGGTGTGCTGTAGATGTCCAAGGACCCTGCAACAAGAAAATGACCTTTTCCTCTTAACATGTTCACACTCCTCAAGGTTCTGTGGTTGGGCCACCCAGCACTGCACAGGGGGCTTCTGTAAGCCTACTCATGCCTCAGAAAATTCTTCCTCTAGAGAAAAAAGCATCAGTTAAAGTTTCCTCTTCTAAACCTGTCTCTCTATGTCCTGGTGTCTTAGTCACTGTCCACATCACTGGGACAAAATAGCCCAAGCCCACAATTTAAAGGAGGAGAGTTTTATTTTGGCTCATATGTTTAGCTCATGGTTGGCTGGCTCCAAGGCAGGAATGTATGGCAGAGTGGAGGGAAAGCTGCTCACACCATGGCAGACAGGAAGCAGAGAGAAAGGGAGGAGCCAAGAGAGATATGTGACCTCTGGGTCACACCCCAGTGACCAGCCTCTTCTAGATCCCATGTGCTTACAGCAGGTCAGCCATAAGCCCCCATTTTCTAATCACTTTCCAAAAGACAAGGCTTTCCATACCATTTTTCATCTGAACAACACCTGGTGATCATGCTTCCCAGTTCTCCCTGTCAAAATGGAACCTCCCAGCTAGCGTCAGCATGGACACCATGCTGATCAGGAACCCTGCCAAAGATTCTGGGACACACTGTCCCCAGACCTTGGCAGCCTAGCAGGCTCGTCTAATATTTAAATAAATGGGCACATTTATTTGTGTAGACTCTTTGTCTCAATACATTTACAAGTCTTCAAGAGGAAAATCAACTCCAAAGAGAGGGAAGTTGGCTCTGCCTCTTGATTCCAAACAAGATTGTGTAATCTCAGTCACAGCCCAGAACAGTGCAGCTAATCATCACCGAATACAAACCCTGCTCACAGAAAACTTGTAACTTTCTGCCCATCTCCTCGTCTCCTCTCCAAACACTCCAGGATCCAGTGATTGAGCTGAGGAACCACAAGCCTTAGTTTCCCTGCTCTTGTTACATATCAACAACCACTTTGTGAACTATGGACTATCTCCTAACACACCTAGAGACCTTCCTCACAAAGCACAGCTGCTGCCCTGACCAGGGTGGGATCAGGATTGAGAGTCTCTCCTCTGAGGCAGTGATGCTGCCTATGGCACTTTCTAGCTGGCAGATGCAATGCTAAGGCCAGACCTTTGGTCCTGAATGTTCTGTCCCCAACAGGCGGCATAAAAGGTGTTGCCCAAGAATGCCTACTTAGATCATTCTTTGGACCTGAGCTCTGTCTCCAAGCCACTTACATAAGCGTCTCCAGGAGAATGCCCCAGACATTCACATTTCTGGAAAGGGGGTATATTTCATAACCCAGGGGCAGTGATGTTACAGACAGCTTGGGAGAGCTGGCAAGAGTCATTTTGAGGCTTTTAAAAAATCTTCCTCAAGAGCCTGTTGTTGGATGTCTGCCAGCACACCGCCGCCTCCCAGCTAGTTCCTGTGACAGTGAGGTGTTCTAGCACTCCTTCACCAGGGACATCTGCAAATCTGGGAACTGTGCTTCTACTCTCTTCTTCTTATGTGTAATTTCTACTAATTTCTGCTTTTAAGTGGCTGTTTCTCCATCACCTGCCATTACTCAGCAACTGCTGTTTGCAGTTTATAGATTTGTATACATTGCAAACAAATGTCTTTCAAAAAGAATTGCACAAATTAATTTCAAAAAAGATAAAAATCAAAAGCCCCGTAGCAGGAAGCACGAAGACTGACCTTCCTGCCAGTCTTTCCAACTGCAAATAACAGTAGGTGCCGGGCCAGGCAGATACGCATATGTCACAGTGGCTCCTTGGGTTCGTGTTTGTCTAAGAGGAAGAGCTACTAGCAAATTAACAAATGTTGTTCATATTTGTTCTATGGAAAAACATTTACTGTTCTCCAATAAGAGTTTGAAACTTTTTGAGAGGTGTAAGTCTCACATTCTGGCCAGGGCTCGTTTGTTCTGGTGAGTCTGCTGAATTCTCTGTCCTGGACCTGTCCACAACAATTTAAAAATATACCCAAAAAAGAACTTTTTAAATAAACTTGACATAGTTTATAATAAAGAAAGTATCTAGCTGGAATAATGTGTCTGCTTTAGGCCATAACAATTATACCTATGTATGCATATGTTATACGAATACGTTTAAAGGTATATAGGACAGAGGTAAAGAGCTCAGAGTGAAAAAGTACCTCTGGCAAAAATAAATCTTTGATTTGCTATTTCTGCCTGATTTTGAGGCAAAGTCACATGCTGGCTTTAGTCAGGCCTTACATTTCATTGCCTGGACCAGTGTTGAGGTCTTTCTTCAGGGGACAGGCAAGACATGACATTCTTTCACATGGTGAAAATGTGAAAACCTTATTGTAGTTTGCTCCCTGGCACAAATGTTCTATAATGAAGAGATCGGCATTAATGTTAAACCAATAAAAGGTTGAATTTATATTCGTACAGGAACCATTGGTTCCATCTCGTTCAGACCCTGTAGAATTAGTAGCTGGCCTTCAGAAAAGGGGGAAATCTTTGAATTGGAAGAAATGTTTAAAGGATGTATAGATTAGATGGATAGATGGATGGATGAATCCATTAATTGATCAATCAATGGAAGAAGAAAGGAAAAAAGGGAAGTTCTAATGTATATAATAACTGTAGATGAAGACTTATCTGAAGTTAGTTCCTAGATAATTGTAAGTAACTTCATAGTTATATGAGAATATCTCTAAATAATGTTTAGATATCTAGGTAACAGTTATATCTAAACTAGATATAGTTGCACCTAATTAGCCACATCCATCTAAGTTATTTTTAACATGTGATATGGGTATGCATTATTTGATTTGCTAAGACACGGAGGAGTTCTCCTAACATGCTCAGGGCCTAGGAAGGGCTTGCATCCCTGGTTCTGCTTCTGCCATCAATGTGCAAAAAGGAGGGTGTCTATATTTCTCCTAAAGCTGCCCCTGAGCCCAGGGTGGCGGGAAGAAAAGAGTGAGACAAGGAAGGGAGGGCAACAATTTCCTGTGGAGGCACCAGGGCTCACTCTGGGAGAGCCTGGGGCTCTTTGGTATAAAATACAGTTGAGAGCTGCCTTTCCAACTCCCCTTGGAAATAAGTGTGGGTGCTTGGGGCTATCAGTTCCTCACAGCCCTGCACGCAGGCAGGTGCGCTCTCAGGGTAGAGAGGGCTGTAGGAGATCAGCCTGGACAGTGCAGAGGGACTTTAATGCTGATGGGTACTGCAGGAGGCTCTGTGTCTCCATGGTCTCATCAGGGGCCCACAGCACGTACTCCCAGGTGCCCACACTGCTGCTCACAGGAAGCAGCAACCCGCTGGTGAGCAGCCCCCTAGATCCAGGTATGTTTTGTGATTCTCACCTTGCCTGCTGGGTGCTTTCTGCCAGTCTTCACCAAATACATCTCCTAAATGTCTTCCTTGGTAATAAGTTTGCTCTTTTCCTGCAAACTACAGACAGGTGTAAATAAAAAGAAAAAGAAAGTATTATTCTCTTTTCATTCCTCATTTTTAAAAGCCATAGTGTAAGATGGGTCTGGTGGTGCACACCTGTAATTGCAGCACTCTGGGAGGCTGAGGCAAGAAGACCACAGGTTGGAGCCCACCCCAGGCAACTTAGCAATTTGACAAGAACTTGTCTCAAAATAAAAATTTTAAAAGAGCTAGGGATGTAACTCAATGCAAAGACCCTGGGTTCAATCCCCAGTATGAAAGAAAAATCCATACTAGATGGGATGTTAATGGGCTGGTCACACCCTTTTACACCCAATTTCCTCTTTGTGCCTCACAGATTATATTAAAATTTAACAAATCAGTTTGTGTGGGTTTGAGGCAAAGGCAGCTGCCTCATCAGACCCCGCGGGCTCCCCATGGTTGTGTGATTCCATGACCTACGTGTGACCGTGAGCTCTTCTGTAAGTAGCCACTTCACTCAACATGCCCGACAGTGAACTTCAGCCCCAGTATCTGTGAGCTACAACCCCTCCTACCCACACACACTCACAGTCATTTACACTCAGGGGACCCACCCCACGAAAACCAGGAAATTCCCTCTCCATCAGATCTCTGATTTTAATGTTATTTTGACATTTTTACTGATGTAATTATTACTTGCATGAGTAGGCAACGTTAAAAAGTTTCTAGGGCTGGGACAAAATGCTTGCTTAGCATGCATGAGGCTCTGGGTTCGATCCCCAACATCACAAAAAAAGAAAAACAGGAAAAAAATATCATATAACAAGGTAGTGATATCATAATGCGAGACAGCAATTTTGAATTAAAGGGAAATTTTTGAGTTGGAGGGGAATGAAGGAAATAGAAAAACACATAAAATTCTCATAATTTAAAAGCCCTTTTCAGAGGGCTTTTAAAAATCTTGAATTTTCTCTTTCTCTCATTAAGGCTACAGTATTATGGGATGGGTACCAGGATGAAGAGGACTCCTCAGACTCCTATCTTGAGAATCACAATATAATTCCAAGACACTTGGCTGATGCATTGTCATATTAAACAGAAGCCTCTCTTATTTGTGTGCTTTGTGGGTTCCAGTGAAAGAAGTCTGTGTGGCTGTGTCGAAAGCTAAAGGGAATATCAGCTTGAAATAAACTGGAGAAAATAAAATGAAATGCAGTTCAGTGAGCCTCCATCCAAGGAGAAAAGCATAAGACTTACTTGTGCGGTGTCAGGGGCTTGGGGTCTGGTTTTCAGTCGAGCGTCGAGAAACCCCCCTGGAGGGGGCATCTTGCTGGGAATACTGTTGTAGTATGGGTGGTCTGGGCCTTCTCCCTCTTCTTCTGTCCAGGGCTCGTCCAGACTCTGCATTCTGTTAAAAGGAGATTTTCAAGGGCTTTCACCAAAAGTGGAGCTTGAAGGCAATTCCAGAAAATCTAACATCCGTAACTGTTGTGGTTTAGATATGCTTGCATGAGGCACCTCCCACCCCACCAAAGATTCATGTGTCCCCAGCACGGCAGTATTGGTTCCCAGTGTGGCAGTACTGGGAGGTGGTGGGACTTTAAGAGGTGGGGCCTAGAAGGAAGTTTGTAGGGAACTGAAGGCATGTCCTTCGGAGGGATTATGGGGCCCAGGTCTTCTCTGGCTTTCCGTTTCAAGAGGTGATCTCCTCACTCTCATGTGTTCCCACCAATAATGTGATATGGCCAGAAGGGCCCTCACCAGAGCTGAGTGCATGCCAACACTATGTCCTGGCTGCTCAAAACTGTGAGCTAGATAAACCTCTTTTCTTTATAAAGTTAGCTTGCCTCAGGTATACTATTACAGTAATGAAAATGAACTAACACAGTACCAATTACCAAGAAAAGTGTGTTTAGGCTCTGCCACTCTGCCATTCTATCCCTTGAGCATGTGACATTCAGATGAGTGGTTTCACCGAAACCTCTGTCCTACTCAGTGTTTCACTCATTGGGAAATTCCAGTCAGATGCAAGACAAGCCCTTTTTATAAAGCACATTGTAAGTGAGACAAAGAAATTTTTGCCTAAAAATGAACCTGGTCCATCAAGGTACAGAAGCACATTTCAGTAAGTCATGAAATTTATGTAAAATGAAATCAACTTCAAATGAAGACTGAGTGACCTCAGGGGAAATGGCAGGGTAAAGGCCTTTGAAAATTTTCTCTTCCATAAAAGCAAGAATAAAACTGGCCAAAGAAAAACTTTGATCAGAATCAACCTTTTTCAAAATCCTGAAAATTAACCAAAACCTTTTAGCAACCTAGAGAATGTTTATTTTGAAGCACAGAGTGAGAACAGTATCTTTGTGGCATTTTCAATGGCCTTTTTCCCATCCTATGGCAATCTTGGAACTCAGTCACAGTGAAAATCAGCACTTAGTTCACAGAAGCAGAAGAACAGCTCTGAGGTGACTTCAAGGCCTCATTCCCAGAGACCTATCATTGTTTCACCTATGTGACCCATCCTTGGAAGACCCAACTTCTACAGCTACTTCTTATTAAATTTATTTCTATTAATACATAACAATTGTGTATATTTATGGGGTAGCATATGACAACCACATACATTTTTACAATATGTAATGGTAAAATCATAATAATTAACATTTCTATTTCCTTAGGCATCTATCATTTTTTTGCATTTCCCAAGACTATCTTTATTTGACCTGAGTCAGAGCTTGCTCAAAGAGACAAAAAAATTCTCCACAGATATTTATCAAAAGCAATTAGAGGGAATTGTTTAACATTATGGCTCATGGAGCCAATGGATAACATTTGGGTCAAGCAGTAAATTAATGAAAATGCCTAAAAGAAAAAGCTGGACATGGGTCTTATATAGGGTTTTAATAATATCCAAACCTATTCCTGGGAAGCCAGAAAGCCACAGGCATGTGTAGGGTGGTGCTCATGCTGAGTTGTGTGTCTACTTGGAACAGATATGAGAAGACCCCAAGTTCTCACCTCTGGATGATCCTGAAATTCTGCACCAGCAGAAAGTGAAGGCCAAGCCAGAGCTGTCAATTGTCTGGCTATATGTTGAGAGAGTGCCCCAATGTGCATGCACAATCATACACACACACACACACACACACACACACACACACACACACACCTCCTTCAGGCAAGACTGGAGACTTAGTGGTTCCAAGCATTTAAGGAAACAGCTCTCTAACCACTACCAAAGCAATATGACTAACCAAACAGAAACATTAGTGAATATATGACAAAGAATATAGATTTTATGAACTCAGTTCAGAAAAATCACTAAAATATTTGACCATAGCAAACAAGATAACAGCAAATTATGGAAAGGGGGAAAATCTGGTTCAGAGTTGCCACATTATATTATTTAAATTTCCAGTTTCAGCAAAAAAATGAAGCATACAAACAAACAATAAAGTATAACCAGTCAATAGAAACTGTCTCTTAGAAAACTCAGACTCTGAAGCTAGTAAACAAAGTTTCTAAATTAACTACTCTAAGTATGTTCAAATAACCAAAGAAGCCAGGTATGAAAACTAAACAAGAGAATGATGCCTCATGAAATAGTGAATATCAATATGAACACAAATAATTTTAGAACCAAATAAAAAATTCAAGAGTTGAAAATTCTAATAACTGAATTGTTTAAAAAATTATTTAAGGATTTAATAGCAAGTTTGCAGAGGCAGAAGAAATAATGGCAGAACTTAATGACAGGTCCATTAAGATTAACCAGTCAGAGGAACAGAAAGACAAAATAACTAAGAAAGATGAACAGAGCCTCAGAGACTCGAGGACACACCAGCATATTCATAATGGGGTCCCCATAGGGGCAGAGGCCGAGGAAGGCAGAAAAAGGCATTCAAAGATATAATAATGAAGAAAATGCAGACATTTGAAGAAAAAAAATTACCAAATGGCAGGAGAAAATCCTAACTTAACAGTAATTGCATTAAATAATAAGTGTTAATATAATTAACACACTTTACAAAAAAAACCAGGTACAGTAGAAATAGACAATTCAACAATAATACTTTGAGACATTAATGCCACTTTCAACAACAGGGCAAACAACTAGACACAAGAATGGGGAACAGAAGTTTTAGCAACATAATAAACCAAGTAGATCTAAGGATATGTATAGAACATTCCACCCAAAAAATAGCATAATAAAAATTCTTCTGAAGTGCAAATGGAACATTCTCTAGGATAGACCATATATATGTATATTAAGCCATGATACAGGACTCAAGAATTTTAAAAGACTGAAATACAAAGTACATTTTCAGATAATAATGGAATCAAAGCAGAAATCAATACCAGAAGGAATTTTTCAGGATTAACAAAATGTAGAAATTAACATATTGGCAAATATAGATCAATAAAGCAATCACAAAGGAAATTAGAAATTTCTTTGAGATGAATGAAATTTAAAACATACCAAAACGTATGGAATAAAGTAAGAAAAACTGCTTAGAGGGAAATACCTATCTAATAAAATACGTACTAATAAAAGAAAGACCTCAAATCAGTAACCAAACATCTACCATAGGAAACCAGAAAAGAAAAGGTAAACCATGCCCAAAGCAAGCAAAAGGAAGATTATTAAAGTGGAAATATATAAAATTGGCAATAGAAAAACAATAGGGAAAATTTAATGAAACCAAGAGCTGATTCTTGGAAAGATCAATAAACTTGTCAAATCTCTAGCTAGACTGACCAAGAAATAAGAAAACTCAAATTACAAAAATCATTACTGGGCCAGGGATATAGCTCAGCGGTACAAGTGCCTGCCTGGCAAGTGCAAGGTCCTGAGTTTGATTCCTAGTACCAAAAAAAAAAAAAAAAAATCATTCCTATCAACCACACAGAAATAAAAAGGATTATATGAGAAACTATGAACAATTATATGTCAATAAATTATTAGATGATATGGAAACTATCCTAGAAAGACTCAAATAACCAAAATTCATTCGAGAAAAAGTAGAAAATCTGATAGGCTTGTAACAAGTCAAGAGATTGGAATAGTAGTCAAAAAACCCGTCAAGAAAAGTTTAGGCTTCTTAGTGAGTTCTAATAAACATTTACAGGAAAATTAACAGCAATGCTTCACAAACGCTTCCGAAAAACCACAGCGAAGGCAATACCTCCAAATTCACCTCCAAACCCTAGAAGCCAGTAATATCCTGATAGCAAAACTAGACAAAGACACTGAAAGAAAGGAAAACCCTGCTCATCCACTTCTCATGAATATGAATGGAAAAACCTTCAATAAAATCTTAGCCAACCAAATCTAGCACCATGTAAAGAATTATACATCATGATGAAGTGGGATTTACCTTCGAAATGCAAAGGTGGTCCAACATGAAAAATCAACTGATATAAGCTGAGTGTGGGGGTGCACGCCTGCTAAGTCAGCACTCTGGGAGGCTGAGATGTGAGAATCTCCAGTTTGTGACCTGTGTGGGCAACTAACTGATCTAGTGATGAATTTAGAAAATATGCTAAAGGATATAGCTGAGTGCAGAGGTCCCTGGGTTCAACCCCCAGTACCACAAAATAATTAATGAAATACATATATTTATTATATATAAAATATATGTAATATATATTTAAAAATAAATACCATATAATTACTTCAATATACACAGACAAATCATTTGAAAAAAATCTGCTGTCTTTCCATGATAAAAATATTCAACAAATTGGGGGTTGAGAGGCATTTCTGATAAAGGTATCTGTGAAAAGCTCAAAGATCATATCATAGCTAATAGCAAAAACTAAACACTTTCCTCTTAAGATTAGGGACATATCAAAGCAGTCCCATCTTGTCTCCTCTATTCATTATAGTGGCATTCTGGCCAGAGAGGTTAAGATAATAAAAAGAAATAAAGACATACATATGAGAATGGAAGATTACAGGATTTTGTAAATGAAAATCTTCAAGAATCCATAAAAAAAGATATTAAAGCTAATAAATGAGTTTTAAAAGTTGATGGATGTAAGATTAATGTGTAACATAAATTTATTTATTTTTTGTCCATTAATAATTAAAAATAAAATGAAGAATTTCATTTGATGTTATTACATCAAAAAGAATAAAAATTTAAGAGAAAATTTATCAAAACAAGAGTAAGGTTTGTTTGTATACCTCAAATTATAAAATACTTTGAAAGAATACAACCCATAAAATGGGAGAAAATATTTGGTAATCATATATCTAAAAGGAAAGATTTATACAGAATATAAAAAGAACTCCCACAACTCAACAATAAAAGATAACCCAATCTTTACAATTAGGATAAGGATTTGAGCAGGTATTTCTCCAAAAAGACATACAAATGGCCAATAAGCACATGAAAAGGAGTCTGACATTCATCATAAAGAAGATGCAGAGCAAAATCATAACCAGAGACTACTTCATTCCCGTGGGATAGCAATCATCAAAAGGATGGACAACTACAAATGTTGGTGAGAACATGGAAAAATAGAATTCTCTAACATTGCTTATGGAAATATAAAATGGTGTGGCCACTTTGGAGAACTGCGTTGCAAGTTTATCAAAAAGTTTACCACAGGGGCTGGGGATTTAGCTCAGCGGCAAAGCACCTGCCTGGCAAGTGCAAGGTCGTGAGTTCGGTTCCCGGAACCGGAGAAAAACCAAAAAAAAAAAAAAGTTTACCACAGCATGACCATTTTAGTGCAGGTGGCACAACTGTGGCTATGGGACCACTCCCCCCTCCATCCACCTGAACTTGGGCAACACCCCCAAGGCCCATCCTCCTTCTTGATCCTAAGGGAAGCAGAAATAAGAATAACAAAGATACAAGACATTTGCACAGCTCCAGCTGGAGCACATGTGGCCCGACATACAGCAACTTTTCTCCATTCAAAATTCATTAAAAGTTCACGTATAGGGACTACATGTCATGCATGTGAAGATAACAGAATGAACTGTGGGGGAGTCATGCACACTAGATACCCTTGAGATGATTCAGCACCCTGTCTATCACTTTGTTAATCATATCCAGAGATCCAATGAGAAGCTCCCTGGAGGGGTGCACATCTTTTGAATCCTAAAGCCTGACTTATCCTTCTTCTTCCTATTCTTCCTGCTATCTCAGCACTACTTCTGTCCCAGCGCACACCACCTTTTTGTTTCTGCTGACACAATCTCACCGTCTGAGCACACCTGCCCCTGTTAACTTCAATAAATGTAGCTGCTTTTTCTTTCACCACTGGGTGTCAACTTGCAGGTTTTGTTCCTTGTACACAAGAATCTGGAATCTATAGCTTGGGAACCCATCATGTACCTTATCAATTTGACCTAAGAATGCCACTGAGATATATATGCAAGAATACTGAAATGCACCTACACAAAAGTGTGTATGTATATTCACACAGCATTATTTATATGAGCTAAAAGCTAAGGACAAGACAAATGTCGATAAGCTACTGAATGGGTGAACAAAAGATGATGCACCTGCACATTATATTATTAAAGCTTCTAAAAAGAACAAAATACTGACAGATCCCACTAGCTGGTTAATCCTGAGGAAAACATTCTTCTAAGTGAAAGAAAGCAGACCACACAATATGATTCCAGGTATATGAACTGTCCAAAATTGGCAAGTCCATGGAGAAAGTAAGTCAGTGCTTGACTGGGGAGAGGAAGGTGAGGAACAATAGAATTGCTAACGACTACTAGGGTTCTTTTGGGGGTGAAGAAAATTTTCCGGAATTAAAGTACCTATTATTTCAATAGATATTTTTCCTTTAGGACAACATTTCAGAAATATAGAAAATCATAAATAATCTTTAAAATATTTAAACATGATTCACTGGGATTAAATAAGTGTTAACATTTTGCTATATTTATGCTTTTTTTGTTTTAAAGAAATAGTTTCCCCAAATTGCAAAAATGAAGCAACACACACAAACATCACATCACATTTACTTTTGGTGGACAGATAAATATATGATATTAATAATAAAATGTTAGTAGTAGAATCTACATGCTGGATATATGTGTTCACTGGTAGAATTCTTTGTGGAATTTGGAACATTTTCATTACAAAATGTGAGGGGCAAATACAACTGGCAATACATTTTGAACCTAACCCATTGCCTGCCACCCCTGCCACATGCCCCGATGTCCTGGAGTCCATGCGCAGTATTCTTCCTTTTTTATATCCTTTCTATGCATCTGTTTAGCCATGAACTGTATAGGAATTTTTCAAAAGGTTGGTTCATAAGCAATTTACATCGTTTGGCAACTTACTCCTTTCCACTCCACTGTGAATTCTGAGATTTACCCTGGTAACAAATGCACACTGATGAATTCTTTTAGCCATCATATCTATCATAAGCAAACTGAAAATATCTGCAAACTCATCCTCAGATCAGAGGTCTCGAGCCCACTTCCTCCCACTAACCCCCTTTGCAAACCTCTCTCTACCCCACTTGCCAAACTTTCTACCAGCTGAGAAAAGCAGATCCATTTCAAGCACCTTCCAAATGAATATCTTAAAGGGGAAGAAATTAAAAGTCTCTTTGTAGAAATTAAGTCTTTTTCTTAAAAGGAGGAGATGGAAGGAGCCTTCAGAATAATAGAGTCAAGGTGCATCTCATGACTACATTGCAGAATGTGGCTTCACAAGTTTGAAGAGAGTAAAAAGTAGCTGGGAATGTAGCTCAGTGGTAGAGCGCTTTTCCCAGTACATGCACGATGCTAGGTTCCATCTCCATTACTGAAAATAAAGTAAAAAAAAAAAAAAAAAAAAGAAGCCTAGGAGAAATAAAGTTTTGTTTGCAGGTATAATAGATTTCATTCTGTGAGTTTCTCCAGGACAGAATGCACACAAGTTCAGTGACAGGACACTGAGTGACCTAAACTATATGGAACATTCTTATGTCTTGGGAAAACTCCATGGTAGACTCTGTGTGTATGTACTCTGTATGAACACTTCTTATACTAAACAAAATATTTCCCCATTGCTTTTAACATTTACTGTTTCACTTAACACTTAAAACAATCATCAATCCACTATCATTCCTATTCTACAGACGAAGCTTCTGAGACTCAGAGAGTTTAAGGAACTTTTCCAGGGCCACACAGGGAACAAGATCCAAAGCTGTGAGGCCACAAAGAAACACACATAATGAAGCAGGAACAATGCTGGCACCAGCGGGAGAGCCCTGTACAGCAGGACATCAGCTAATTGTGTTAACAAGGACCACGGGACACACAGAACCTGTGAAGATAGACCCAACGGGGTGACATATGGAAAAATCACGTTGGTACAGAAGAAACAGAATGACGAAGGAATACAATGAAGTTGCTTTTTGGTAACCTTGGCTACCAGCACTATAATTTCAAGAAACTGTTTTCTACATGTTCAGACAGTGCGTTGGCTTCCATCTGTGGTTTCCGAGGCAGATCCCAGCACCAGGCAGGGGTCTGCCAGCCCAGAAAGCTCTTTCATGAGCTGGGTCTGTCCACTGCACAGCTTGGGGAAGTGGTTTAGAAAAGAAAAAGGCTCATAAAATACAGAGGCCACTGCCAGTGGTGTCACAGCACTACTCACCGGTCCTGGAGAGCCGGAATCTTGGAAGGACACTGCAAGTATTGCTTAAACCGGAGCTCAAATGCTTGTCCAATGGAGCCAATGACATCCTGGGCCAGCCCATCGCAGCACTCGAGAATGTGACAGGCTGAGAGAGAAGGGGACACAGGCCCATTAGAGGTGGATGCTGGGGCTCAATTAGAGAGAAGGGTGGAGGACCAAGAGGCTCATTCCTCGTTCATAGTACATTCACCCAAACATCTTCTGGCTTCACCTCAGGCAGCACACAGCTATGATGGCAGGCACGCTTTTCTCAAGAGCCTACTGTTTGCAAAATGATGGGTTCGATTGCTGAAAAAAGAATTTTCAAATTCAAACTGATAGCCCTTCAGTGTCTTTAAAGCCCACAAACCATTAGTTCTGATCTGGATAGAAAATAGTGTTCACAAGGAGACCTCACTATGACAAAGAGCCAAATCTGGTACAAACAAAGCCCCCTGAAGGCCCCATGGGCCTTAAACGTTGCATTTAATCTGGCATCTGTTGAATGAACCTTGACTTATTCCGTGAACCTAGAACAAGTTGTTCACTTACATCTTAGCTAAGTGTCGACCACCCAGTGTGTCTGCAAGAAGCATTTAGAAGAGCAGTCTTTTAATGTGAGTGCAAAGGACATGAATTCACATGTATGGCCATCCCAGAAATGGGCCTCCTGCATCTACATAAACTTGAGACTGGATTTTCATGTAGTCTGTGAGAAAAAGCCCTTAAACATCAGGGGTGCTTGTAGGTCAGAATGAGAGCACTTGGAGACAGAGGGAAGGACTTGGCCTGGTCCTTAGTTGCTCAGGGCAGGCACCAGTCATCACACAAGGACACTGTCCCAGTGCTGAGGCTGAGGCACAATGCACAGGCAACCAAAGAAAGTCAAGTCTGGGAAAGAGGACAGGCTCTCCCAGCCTCTGTCTTCCAAGGAAGGGGTGCATCTCTGAGGTCCCAGAAAGCATGCCCACTTTCAAGGAATATATTCCTTGCAAAAGAGTCACAGACCCTCCACCTGTCCTTCCTGAGCGGCTACCACTCTGCTGCCATGAGCAACGTGGTAAACAAAATGATGGGAGGCCATTATTTGGACAAAGCTCCCAAAAGACCAGATCAGATCAGATCAAAATAGATCCCTCATGCCCAACACCCCACCATCAAACTGAAATCTTAAGAGGCAGACAGATGCCAGCATAGAATGGTTTCTCCAGGAAATAAGACATTCTAGTCTACCTGAACTGGCATAATAAGGAAAGCCCTCTACTTTAGCCCTTGCCCAAAATAAAGTAAGTGGATGTCGGCCAGTCAGGGTGCTTTTTCTATCATTCTGCTTCCTTGTTCCCACCTCACGAGACCCATTGTTCTGCCATGGCCCAGAGGGAGCTTTCGCCTGTTTGTAGAATGAGGCTGCCTCATTCATAAATCAAAATAAAAGCCAGGGAGACTGATGCTTAAGTTTGTTGAAATGTTGTCTTTTGACACCCTTAATGTGGTCTTGTTACTGGGTAGGATAAAGGAGTTTTCCCTGGAGGAGAGAACAGATGTGGATTGTACTCCGTTCTTCCCTTGCCAGCAGTCACAATGGCAGGACATGGAAATGTGCTCTCCATGCAGGAGACACCAGCAACTTTCAGGAAGGGGACAGAGACCTCCCTCCCTCCTACCGCTCCGCTCCAAAGGGAGACAGTTTTCATCAAGACACCAAACCAGATAGGGACTCTGAGCTCACCCAGAAGGCAGCCACCAGGCCCTAGGCCTCTTCTGCCCTACACCTGGGTGGGCACAAGGAAAAGTATTTCCTGAGAAGAGCGTGTGTGAGCACCTCGCTGCTTCAGCAGTCCTATTTTAAGATGCAGCAATTGTGTGTTAGCAACAGCCGGGAGACTTATTTTAAAAAGTACAAGTGTCCTGGCTGTCTTTCTATTACAGATCATTGATATTATTTCAACATGGATATGATTATTTATTAAGCACTGCCCCACATACTTGTTAGCTAAAGTCATTCTCAAGAGTTGGCCCAAGGTTACCCCAGCCTGGCTGGCTTTGTCCTTGACATTAGTAAGGGGACTTGATGGCCACACCAAGGGCTACTCTGTCCCTGAAAAGATAAATGCAGATGCTTCCATTTGCTAAGCGTGGTGATCACGGGTAGAGGAAAAGGCAGGGCCCAGCCGTGCCCACCTCCGTCAAATAACAGTTCACGGCATCTGTCTTTCCAAACACCCAGAGGCCAGTGGCTGCAGCCATCCCTGACCATCTGCTCACTCAACCAACTGTGGACCAGCTGAGTACCTGGAGCTCCTGATGTGAGGTTTGTTCACCTGAGTGTGCTCTCATCATCCTGCCTGGGCACCTGGCCTGTTGGTCAGGATGGGCAAATTATGCCACAGTAACAAACAGCCCTTTCGTTCTTGCTCACACATCTCTATCCTTCTCCAGGTTGCTCTGAACTTCTTATCCTGGGTCTTAACTCGGGGCCCCCTGACAACCTGGAGAGGAAAGAGCCAGCAGGGCCTCACCCAGGACCACGTGCTCCATTCATTCTGCACCCCGCGTCCTGCACAGACTGTCGCTCGGTCCTCCGGAGAGGGGGCTGGCAGGTGCTGTGTTCCGAGTGCAGAACACAGTGGTCACCTCGTATTCTCAATTTTTGCTTTCAGGGGTTTGTTTCCCATGGTTAGCTACAGTATAAAAATATTACATGGAAAATTCTTGGGATGCAGGAGATGGAGGGTGGAGTAGGGAAGAGGAAGTAAAAATGATTAGATGCCATGTGGATCTGTACCAGTTCCCCAAGATGAATGCAATTATTATGTACAGTTTATACAAAGAAGAATACACAAAAATGAAAGCCAGAAAAAAAGGAAAGTGGGAAGAACAATGAGGTAAGTGTGTTCAAAGCAAGGGGGAATACTGGGGCGGGGATAATGGCAATATGTCTTTTACTGTAATAAAGTTTAAAAGCTTAAACATTCAAAAGAAAAAAACTCATAAGTTTTAAATTGTGCATTTCTCTGAGAAAGAATGATATCTTAGCAGATCTGTGCTCTGGAAGGGACTGTCTTCAGGCAACCCTAACTCCACTTAATAAAGGCCCTGAGACGCAGAGGTAGGCCTGCTGGCCATTGAGAGCAGCCAGGGAGAAGTCCACAGGTGAACTTAAGGAGGGGCCGCTGTAAGAAGCAGTTTGCTACTGGTAAAATCTGAAATTGTGAAGAATGAGAAAGAAAGTCTTGCTGGGTTTTCTGTCCACCTCAGGCTGTGCCAGTCACAGACAGAGAGCATGCTAAGTGCTGAGTTAAGGAGAAAAGGAGACTAAATTATAGGCTGGGTACTATCCTTGGGTTTCAGCATCCACTGGGGGTATTGGGACCTGTCTCCCATGAGAAAGGGAGTTCAATCCCTACTGTATAATTAGTATTTTAGTGTAATTCCTAATTTGTGGCTTCTCTTTGGAAGGTTCAGTTAAAACTAGTTTAGTTCAGTTAAAACCAGTCAGTAGTTTAATATAATCCCATTGTTTCTGTTTTGTTACCTATGCTTTTGAGCCCTTATCCACAAATTCCTTGCCCAGACCAATGTCATGAAACATGACATTGTTTTCATGTGTTTTCTTCCAGTAGTTTTCTTCTAACAGTTTTGTTGTTTGAGAGTCTTGCAATCAGATCTTTAATCTATTGTGAGTTGCTTTTTGCAGGTGATGGAAGGATCTCCTCATATCCTTCTGCATGTAGCTATTCATTTTTTCCAGCACCAGCTAATGAAGAGATTGTCCTCTTTCTAGTGTGAATTCTTACACTTCTGTGGGAAATCACTTGGCTGTGAATGCATGGATTTATCTCTGAGCTCTATTCTGTTCCACTGCTCTATGTGCCTGTTTTTACGCTAAAGCAAAGCTTTCTTGATTGCTCTAGCTTTGCAGTGTATTTTGAAGCCAGGTAGTATGATGCTGCCAGCTTTGTACTTTTTGCTCAAGGTTATTTTGCTTATTTGTGATCTTTTGTGGTTCCATACATATTTTAGGATTTTTTTCTATTTCTGTGAATAATATTTTTGGTATTTGATAGGGATTGCCATGAATATGCATACTGAATAAGAAAACTTGATCTCATGGAAGTGTAGAATAGCATGGTGGTTATCAGAGTTGAGATGAGAAGGAGGGAAGAAAGAAAGTGTTGGTTCAAGAGTATATGATTTCAGTTAGGAAGAACCAATTTCAAGGGAGTCTCTGTCCAGCAAGGTGACCACAGTTAATGACATAATATTGTAATCTTAAAAAATGTGAAGAGAGTACCATGTGTTCTCACCCTAAAAATTGTGATGATGGGAGGCAATGCACTGCTAGATTTAACCATTCCACAGTGAAAATATACACTGCCCTCTGAGTCCATTGGTTCTAGAACTCACCCCACTCCAAGATATCAAAATCCATGATGTGCCTGGTCCTTATATGAAAAGATAGTGTTTGCATAGAACCTCTGGGATACTTTAAATCCTCTCTAGATTACTAATAATATCTAATTATAATGTATATGCTATGCAAATACTTGTTATGCTGCAATTTTTATTTGTATCATTTTTATCTGTATTATTTTTTAGTGTTGAGCTTTTTTTTTTCAAATATTTTTGATCTGCAGTTGGTTAAACCTGAGGATCTAGTGCCTGTGGACCTAGAGGGCTAAATGTACTTTAAAACATCCTGAGATGGTTGGTGTAAGCAGGTCCCAGGCTCAGGGCCTGACAAGTGCAAAGGGCCTGGGGCAGGAGCTTGCAAGGCCTACTCAAGGACCATCTGGAAGATGGAGTAGGTAGAGAGGTGGAAAGGGGAACTGAGCTTACAGAAGGTCCATGGGTATAGGTAGGATGAGACATTGTACCCGCGTTGAACAGAGAAGGGACACATTGTGGCAATTGTGTGGAGGAAAGGCCTCAGAGGGTGAGCAGGACACTGGGAGGGCCATGTGTGGGTGAGGGAGCCTGGGGGGCAGTGTCAGCTGGGGGAACTGCTCAGCCTGAGGTCACTGTGACAGAGAGCAAGGGAGCCAGCAAGGGTCAAGCTGACAGACAGCAGGTGCTCTTTGGAGGTAGTTTCATCCCACAAAATTC